CCACATTAGGAAAATAGTTCAGGGAATCAGGGCTTCTCTGTGAACATCTCTGTTCATTCAAAGACATGTTCATGGGAAGCTTGAATGATATACAGTTTGTTATAAACTCTGTAAAATATTCATAAGAAAAATACTGGAAGAAAATCCACAGAAGTGCTACCAATGGATTTCTCCCAGGTGATGACGTTATTAGTGCTCATCTTTCAGTTGTAGGACTTATGTGAGTTTTGTTTTGTTGTTTTACCTCCGTGGGATTCTCTTCAGATTTTTCTGCAGGAAGCATTATTAATTTTTAAAGCAGACTTTCATTAGAAATCTAAACTGGGGGCAGAGAGAGAAAAATCCAGAAAAAGAAAAACAAAACAAACAAACAAACAAAAAAAAAAACCACAGACAGGCCAGGAAGGAGCAAGGGTTGGGAACAGCGTACACAGCAGCTTGGGAGAAAATGAGCCATAATCGTGGTAAGAGCTGCTGTGGGCTGAGGGCCAGGCTCTGTCCAAGGGTTACACGGGCATCAGATCATTTAATGTGGGGACATATTAAAAGATCTGATGCCCACTGCCATCTGTGAGTTTTCAGCGGAGGATGGAACCAACTGTCGACAGGTGAAATCAAAATAGAATTCACCACAGCCAGAGAAACCAGCTAGCAGGAGGAGGAAGCTTCAGCCAGGGAAAAGTTGGGCTGTGGTGTTGCCAAATAGGATGCAAGAGATACAGTGAAATTAAAATTTCAACTAAACAATGGCTGTTTGATTTACAAGAAAGTCCTGATACCCAGTCCGGCAAGAATATGGGCCTCACCCACCCTCACTTACTTCACTCCCATCCAGGGATCTGTAAGGTGCCCCCTCCAGACAGCTTCCCCTGGTACACGCAGGGTGCTCCAGGCCTGCCCAGGCAATATTTGGGCATTAAAATTTATTCAGCATCTGTCTGGGACTCCATTTTAACTGGGCATCCTGTATTATGATGATTTGCTAAATCTGATAGCCAGGGAGACTCCTACTTAGTAAATCCCATGCTTGGGGGCATCCGCTGACACCAGATTCCCTTACAGAGACAGTACCTAGACCACCCAATCCTGGGAGCTTGCCCAAGCTTGTTTCAAAGGCCTGAGACTTTATTTTTTCCAGACTTTATTTTTGATTTTTGAGAGCAGAGAAAACATTTTCTTGGTACCTGCCAGGTATCAGAGAGAGAACAAAAGAACCCTCCCTCTTTGTTCCCATAAATCACTTGGTCTAAAAATAAAAAAAACACTCTACAGAAACATTGCAACAAAAAAAAAAAAAGGAAAGCCACTTCCAAGGCTTCCTTGGTATGAACTCACGCTGTGCTGGGTTCCTGGGTGCAGACTGCTAACAAACAGCACAGGCCGGAGAAGCTCAGTATAGCCCGCCTGGCCCTTTCCTCCTCAAAATCACCCAGAAAACAAACAGCACTTGCTGACTCAAACGGATTCACGTGCCCACACCAGGCCAGTAAATGAGGAAACCAGCGCTGGATGGCTTTCTGTCTTCCACCTTCATGATCAAGGTTGGGGCTCCTCGTGACCCCCACTGTGGGGAAAGGATAGGAAAGAACATACTGCAGCTATTCCCAGTGGAGAGGCGGTCAGGAAGGGGAAGAAGGAATTTAAAGATGGAGAGCTCTGCCCTTTCATCTACTGCAGAAATAGACGCCACTCCAGGGGTTCTCAAAGTGAGGTCCCTAGGCCAGCAGCAGAAACCGGGAACCTCTGAGCTAGGCAGTGACCCAGCCCAGAGCTGCCCCATCAGCTGCTGTGCAGGACCCCCGGCAACGCAAGCATGTGGGACAACGGAATTAGTGGGGTTTGTGGGAGAATGTGTGTTTAGCAGCTTTATCAAGGTAAAAAGGATAAACTGCTCAGCTTAAAATGTACAATCTCCTAACACACGGCTTCCCCTCATCCATGGGAGACACACTGCAAGCCCTCCAGTGGATGCTGGCAGTTGCAGACAGTACCAGCTCCCACACAGACTATCTTTTCCTACACAGATGCACCAACGATAAGGCTGAATTCCCACATTAGGCCCAGAAAGAGATTAACAATAGCTCATCAGACATAGAACAATTGAGCAATAATAACATAATAAAAAGTTATGTCAATGCAGTGTCTGCCTGTCTCTCTTTTTCTCAAGGTATCTTAGCCAGGCGTAATGGCACAGGACTATAAGTCCAGCTACTCGGGAGGCTAAAGCCAGAGGATTTCAGGTTCAAGGCAGGTCTGAGGAGCTTGTCTCAAAATATAGATAGATGGCAGAGACAGAGACAGAGATAGAGATAAAGACAGAGATGATAGAGACAGAGACAGAGGGGCCTGGAGTGCAGCTCAGTGGTACAGCACTTGCCTGGCATGTGCAAGGCTCTGGGTTCTAACCCCAGTCATGCAAAAAACTAAAAATCTCACTGTACTGTGTTCGCCCTTCCTCTTGTGCTGATGTGAGATGACACTGGGTCTGAAGGCTGGGCTGGAGTGAGGGGAACAGCGTAGGCACCGTGAGGTAACACCAGAGCCAGCCAGAGGGGTCACTCGAGCACAGTCACTGTGATCTGGCAGTCGATCTGATAACCAGGACACTGCTAAGTGACTAATGGGCTGGTAGAAGATACACTGGACAAGGGGCTGATTCATATGCTGTGCAGGGCGGAGCAGGAGTATGCAAGATGTTAGCCACCACTCAAAATGACACCCAATTTAAAACCTATGAGCTGTTCCTTTCTGGAGTTGTCCATTCAGGATTTGGGGATCATGGTTGACCATGGGTAACCGAAACCATGGAAAGCAAAACTGTGGCTAAGCGTGGTCTACTGTACACACATGAACCATCATCAAGGGAAGTCACTGAACATGTCTGTCACTTCCAAAAGCTCCCCCACTTTATAATCTCCCCCCCCCATACACACCCCACCCAATCTCCAGGCAACCATTAACCTATTTTTTGAGGGGAAAGCGTTGAGACAGGGTCTTGCTATGTATTTCAGGCTGGCCTTGAGCTCACTTTGCAGCCCAGGCTGGCCTCAAACTCACAATGATCCTCCTGCCTCAGCCTCCCGAGTGCTGGGATTATAGGCAAATGGATTTGGGAGGGGACCAGGAATCAAATTCAGGACCTTGCCAGACAGGTGCTTTGCCACTGAGCTATATCCCCAAGCCTCTCACTGACCTGTTTTTATCACTGCATATTAGTGTGTTTCCTGTCACCCTGAGATTTTTCACTCAAGACAATCATTTCGAGAGCCACTCATGTTCTTGTTTATATCAGTGGTTCATGTATTTTTATTGCTGAGTAATATTCCACTGTATGGCCATACCCCTTTGCCTGCTTACCTTATATAAACAGTTTCCAGGTTGGAGCTACTATAAATGAATCCAATACAAAGTTTTATGTGGGCATACATTCTCATTCACTTACATAAATATCTAAAATAGAATGGAATGTCACATGAGAGGTATGTGTTTAGCTTTTTCAGATATCTACCAAAATATCCTCCAAAATGGTTGTAGTATTTTATACTCACACCAGCAATGTGGGAACATCCTAGTTACCCTCAAATTACAATCAGCACTAGGCATAATGCATCTTTTTAAATTTAGCCATTTTAATAATTACGTAGCAGCATCTCATTGTGGCTTTAGCTTGAACTTGTTTAGTTAATGACTAATGACTTAAGTGTGTTCTCCTGTGCTTACTTACCAGCCATTTACCTTCAGTAGAGTGTATGTTCAATCCTGTGTCCACTTTTTGTGTCACGTTATTGCATTTACGAGTTTTGAGTTATTTTTATAATCTGGACACAAATCCCTCATCAGACCTGTGACTTACAAGTATTTTTTCCCAATGAGTGGCTTGTCTACTCATCTAATGTCTTTCACAGAGCAGAAATTCTTAATTTTCTTAACGTTAATTTGCTCTCTTGAGGGCTATGATTTTGGTGTCGCATCCAGGAAATCTTTGTACAACCCAAAGTTGTTGTGGATATTTTTCTCCTGTTTTCTTCTAGAAAGTTTATGGTTTTTAGTTTTACATTGAGGCCTACCTCTGAGCCATTTCTGGTCAATTTTTGTATATAGTGTGAGGCATAGCTTGAAATTGATGTGCCGGGGTTTTTTTGCATGAGGTTATATAATTACTCCAGCACACCTACTTCCCAGACATGCATATTTGGAAAGAATCTCTGGAGAAGACATTATTTACTCCTTTCCACCCGGTAAACTCATACTAAAACCCAGGTCAAATGTCCTTTTGAGTAAGATGCCTTCCCTGTTTGAGCCCTATTAGCTCTGCCAACTACCTGCGGTGCCCTCAGCATTTCATGCAACCTCCAACGTCTTCTTGTCTCACACGACTGCATCTAATCCCATGCCTGCCTTCCCTGCTATGGCAAAAATTCATGGCTAAACGGAGTGAAAGAGGGGGCTTCAGAAAACAGCTGTTGAAATATAAACTAATAAAATATCAAGAAGGGAATCACTTAGCTTTTTTCAGCAATTATGTACCCATCTCTCAAGGTCTCATTCAGAGACCAAGTGCATCAGGAAACCTCTCTGACCTCCTCCCCTGGGGATTTACCGAGAGTCCCTGTCGGCTGATTCAGGCCAAGCCCTGCACTCAGCACCTTCAGCGCACCATCTCCCCCAAAGCAGACCGCTGCTACTAGCATCTGTTAACCAAAGAAGATACAGCAGTTTGGAAAGGGTAAATTCCACACCTCGGGTTCCATATCTAGTACGTATCAGAGCCAGGGATTAAGCCGAGACAATCTGTTACTTCTGTGCATACCACCTCCCGGTTCTCTTTCTCTTTCTCTCGCCAGCACAGACCTTGCAAAGGCAGCCACAGCCTCTCCCATGTGACCAGCCCTTGCCAGCAGCAGTGACCAAAGAGATGAGTGACACACAGGACCCTCCAGCACCTCCACACCTGCCCAGGAACACAGATGCACACCCCACCCTGCGGGGCACCCTCTTACCTTGGACCACACGCCCATGCCAAAGGAGCTGCTGTCTGCCATCTGGTACAGGCGCAGCTCTGTCCTGCGGGCAGAGAAGAGACTGGGGTCAGCGGGGGCTGCCTGTACAGTGGCCTGCAGGGCAGGGCTTCCCACAGTGCAGGACTCCACACAGAATACCATGCAACCCCAGGGGCTCCTCCAGGCCATGGTCCACCAGATCTGTCCCAGGGCACCCCAGAAGAGATGGTAGAGAGTCAGATCATCAGCTGGGTGACCATGCACACGGATCCCACAGGACAGTCACCAGCATGAACAAGGCCTTGCTGGATGTCACACTGTACCACTGCTCCGACCCGCCACTCAACAGAACTGGAGATTGAATTACATCCTAGCCTTTTAAAACCAAATTTTTTTAAAATTTTGAGATGGGATTTCCTAAGCCACTAAATTGCTTCAGCCTGGGCTTGAATCTGTGATCCTTCTGCCTCAGCTTCACAGAGTGCCGGGATTACAGGCACGTACCACCGTGCCTGGCTCGATAGCCCAAACTTATCCCACCTTACAGATGACAAGGTGGAGGCCTTGGGCTTCAGCTCCTCACCCACAGCTTCCAGACAGCAGTACCAAGTCAAGAACTTGCCTCCGAGAGCCCAGCCCCTGTGTGGTCCTGCCACACACTCACTCTCAGGGCTTGGGCTGCAGGGGCAAAGTGTTGCGAGGCTCAGGGCCATTCAGGTTCTTTGAGAACCTGCAGCTGGGCCCCTCCCCAGGCCTGAAGGGTGTGAAGCAGAAGCAGAGCACAGCAATGCCCTATACACACACACACACACACACACACACACACACACACACAAGCAGGCAAAGCACACTCAGCAAACCAGGCAGTTCTCTCCGCCATCATGTGCCTCGTCTGTGACATGGGCTCCCTTGCCTCACCACCCTAAGTAAGCTATCAGCAGAGTCTGCTCCCTGCGCCTCATGGCCCCTCCTTCACTGGAAATCAATTTGGTAAATAACTGAGAAGCATCTACTGGGTGCCAATCCCCACGTTGGGGAGTGACCGGGAGGCAGAAAGAAGCGAGGGGGTCCCTCATTTAGAGACCACATAACCAGTCCAGTGAGGAAGACAGACCTGTCCGGGCCAGCATGGCAGGTGTGGAAACAGAAGGAATGCTCCTTTAAAAAAGGATTTGGAGTAGGGTTTTTAAGGGTGAATAGCAGTGTAGCACATGAGTATTGGGAGAAAGTAAAGATGTGTAAAAGTAGAAACTAGTTTTTGTGCTTTGGAAGCTGTCCAGTGGTGGTGGGCCCGCCCTGGCGGCAGCAGAGTTGGAGACAGGGAAACGGCCTGGGGCCACTCCTGAGCCTCCAGAATGCCTGTGATGCCCCCACCCCGGGGTCTGAGTAACCCCACACAGTTCTCCCTACTCTCCAGGAGCCCAGGCTGGGACAGGAGAGCTGCACGTGCCCCTCAGTGCTATGAGAGTTGAGAAAATAGGGTAGGGGCAGCCTCTTCCCAAGGCCACAGGGCTGGAGCGTGAGTTCGTAACTCTCCTGCTCAGAGTCACAGCCTTCCGTGTCACATCCCAAACATACCCTGTACGTGGTGCCCGCTGCCCTGACAGGGAGAGCATTTCAACGCTCAAAGCAAGGAAAGAGAAAGAAGCCGAGACCCAGAGAGGCCTGACTGCGGCAAAGCCAGGGTCAGGCACACATCCCCTTACTCTGCAGCCGGTCCTTCCCAAGATGCACCTGGTCAGAACCAGAGGATGATCGGATAAAAATCCTCCCAAAATAACCACAAACACACACAAAGCATGTAACGCTGAGGTTCCTGGCTAGGCATTGCTGCCTGTTCACACTTTGACCCCACCAGCACTCTGGGGTAGGTAGAATCACACTGGGTTTACAGATGAGCAGAAGGAGACCCAGAGAAGTGAGGTCACTAGTCCAAGGTCAAGGAGCCAGCAGGCAGAGGCACCAGGATACAAATCCACAAAGCCTGGCTGCAGAGTTTGTGGTCCTACCACAGTGCTCTACCACTCAAGCCTGGTGCTTCCTTCTGTGGGTTGCACAAGTCTTGGAAAAGCTTCCTTGGTCCTTCATCACTCCATTCTGAAAAGCGGGAGCTGCCTCTCTGACCTTTCCCCTCTCTGCAGGGTACAGTGGTCCCCCCAGTCTAACACTCGGCTCAGGCCCAAATGGGGTGGAAGGTGGGGGGCATTGAGGGGACAGAGGGACGCACTGCAAATCATCACCCCACACGTGGGAAAGGGCAGCTTTCTCCTCCCCTGGGCCTTTACTAGATTCTGACTGATGTGGATGACAGAGGAGGAAACTGAGGCTCCGTCAGAGAAAGGTACATGTCCAAGGATCCCTGCAGAGTCAAGAGGAGCAGAGATAACTTTCCAGGCCATCTCTTTCAGAAAGCCCTCCAAGACGAGGCTGCCTGACCACCTTGCTCACTGCTCCTCCAGCTCCTCTTCTGTCCGAGGCTCCCACAAAGTTTAGAAAGTTCTAGAAGACAAGAGGCTCTTCCCACAAGGGGCTCTGTACCACTATGTTCATGCCCCAGCTCTGTACAGCTGGATGCAGATAATGCCACGCAATCTTGTAAGGTCTGCCCCTCTACTGAGGGAGATACCGAGACTCAGAATGGATGGTAAGTGACCAAGCTCATCGTCCACGAGCAGTGTGCACCCCGAGCAGCTGGGAGGGAAGGCCACCTTCCTCCCTCTAGGTTTCTCAGCCTCTCGGCTCTGGGAGGAAACAAGCAGGTGCCATCAGCCCCTGTCTTCTGCTGTCCCCACCATCCTGGGACTCACCTGAGATCCAGGTCTAAACCGGCCAGCATCTGCGAGAAGATGGGGAAGGTGCCTTCCCCTTCCGGCGGCCGCGCCACTCTGCTCTTCTCCAGGAGCATGGTCTGCAGGGGGGACGACACTGTCAGCTGCAGGGCCTCAGCTGAGCCCCGGCCTGGCCCACATGCCGAGGACTCACATCAGGCCCAGCTTCGTTCACCACCAGCCCTCACATCCAGAATCATCTTCCTCGCTTGTCACTAATTCAGAGACTACCCAGGAGGTCTGCTAGTCCATGGACCCATCTAACTGGAGTACCACAGGACCACAGGGATCAGATGGAGACGCCCTCCCACACATTTCGCAACAGAAGCCCCTAGAACCTCCTCCCAAGCAGTGCTTCCTGGCAGGCAGGATGTGAGGCCGGCAGAGCAAACAGACGCGTAGACCCCGGCAAGCTTTCCAAGAGCCAGGCTGTCACCCCAGCTCTGCCCACAAACATCCATCTCACAGCCTAGCCCTACTTTCTGTTCTAACAGAATGTGTGTGAGGAGGGGAGGGCTGCAGTGTGTTTGGAAAACAGGCCAAGTGTGCATCACACAGGGACCCCGCAGAGGGCTGGCTAGTGATTAATTTTAGCTCGTGCTTTTAAGACCTGGCTAATGAGTGGCTGACTTATATATTTACTCAGGAATATTTCTCCTCCACAATCGGCCGTGGTGCAGAGGCGTGGGGCTGCTGCTATGGGGACAGGACACTGTGGGGACCAAGTGAGTGGGGTGTGGAGCAGCTGGGTATGGTTAGGGGCGCGATGACCATTTCACACACACCCCAGGTTCCAGCTGGAAGCTTGGGGCCAAGCAGCCCCGAGGGCCCTGTGTGTCCTCCCAGAACCCTCACCTGGAGCTGCGCAGCTGTCACTCGGCCAGTGGCGTTGAAATCCAGCGACATCACCATGGCCAGCCGGGTGGCACTGCAGCTGTGGCCAGTGTGTGCGGAGCCGAAGGCCCGGAGGATGGTGAAGGTGGCCCGGATCTTCTCCACTGAGTGGGGCGGAGAGGGTGTCACTCGTGGCTCGCACAGGACCGACCACCTTCCCCACTGGCCCCAGCTCTGCCCAGGCCAAGCCTGTCCTCTGCCCCACCTGGGCTCCCTGCTGTCCCCCAACTCTGCTCTAAACCACATGCACCTTCCTGGGCACCAGTTGCTGGTGTCATCCTGCATTGCAAGCAGGGCACAGGGGCAGCAAGGCTCGGTCCAGAAGCGGAGAGGCACAGCCCCAGGAGACAGGGCTGCCCTCAGAGCCTGGGAGAGCAACACACTAGCACTTCAGACCTACCTTCAGGATCCGAGGCCTAGCGGCAGCCAGAAAAGCCCTGCATTCTCTCCCCGGAGCCACTGAGCGCCCACTCTACCCCACACACAGTACTGGGTGTCTAGATACCACCCATCCGGACTCCCCCCTTCAAATACATGGCAGAGCTACGTGCTGGGGGGGCAGAGACAGCGCCTTTCCCTCTGTATCCCAGCTCCCAACTTGGGCCAGGCGCAGAGTGGGGGCCCAGGAAAGCACCGGAAGGACCCAGCGGGGAGGCAGCGTGTGCCGCGGCTAGGAGAGATTCAGTGTGGGCTCTGCCCTTCACTAGTTACCCCTTTGGGAACCATTAAGCAACCTTCCTGGGCCGCGGGTGGCCCCGTGGTAGCATGGGCCTTGCCTGGACGTCCTGAGCACTAAATGACTCACTAATGTGAAACATTAGAAAGTGCTCAAAGGTGGTGGCGGTAGCAACGGGCATTCATTATGATCAGAAATGCAACCCTGGGAGGAGTCTCAGTGGGGGCACTGTGCCCTTGGTGGGCAACGCCAGAGCTTGGAGGCGGTTAATACATAGTAGTTTTAAGGCTCAGATAGAGAGACAGATAGACAGACATATAGACAAACAGATAGGTAGATAGATAGACTACGCACATGGATCTGCGATTTATCTATGGTATTAAAATCTCATAGTGGGGGAGACTGTTGGGGGAAAATCTCAACAAAGGCTCCTTAGAGGACAACAATTAAAAAAAAAAAATGAGAACAGTAGCCCACTGGTTACCCTGGGGAGCCAGACTACCTAGCTGTGAAATCTCAGCTGTAGGATGGATTTGCTGTGTGCCCTTGAGCAGGCTAGTTCACTTCTCTGATCTCAAGCCCTCATCTGTAAAACTCAAGTAATAATATCTACCTTAAAGGCCTGTCTGAAATAATAAGTAAGTTCCTACACTTGGAACAGGGCCTGGCACACAAGTCTTCTGCAAGTATTTACTCTAATTGCTATTAATATGGTAATTATTACTACCATTATGCATTGTGCTGTTTCTATGCCCAGCTCAAACGTCACTTCCTCATGAAAGCCCCTACATGCCTCCCGGGCCTCCTCTCTAACCGGCTGTGCCAGCACTTTCTGCAGAACCTTTGACTAAGTACAAATGTACAGTTCACTCTCTGCTCTGCTGGGTTTAGGCTCTGCCTGTTTGTCTTTATGCCATGGGTCCTCTGTATGGTTCAGCAGGTTGTACACTGCACACAGACACCACATCCAACAGGTGCACTGGTCACGTCCCACTGTCCCAGATTTCTGCACTTATTAGGTTCATTTCCCAGCAGACAGAGGTCAAGCATCTGGTCCTGAAAATGCCAATGTATGAGTGTTCTGCAGATGACCGTCAACATCTTGAGGACGGAATATCTTTATCTAATTCCAACAAGGGTGTCCAGTGGGCTGGAGGGTGGCCTGCTCAGTGCCAGGCACGGGGTCTGCACGTATCAGGGCTCAGTGAATGCTCGGTGAAAGAGATACAACTCTCTCCTTCCTACACGTCACCCGGAGACCTCCGTACCTGACACCTTGCCATCCACACTGCCTGCCATTCCCACCAGGTGCTCCAGGGCCTGCTCGCAGCAGATGGTCTTCCCAGCGCCGCTCCGGCCCAGGGCTATGATGCTCTGGTCTCTGCGCTGGCTCAGCATCGCCCAATACGCCCGCTGGGCCAGGGAGCTGATGTGGGCGGGCAGGCCATCGCGGCGGCCCCTGGGCACCTGCAGGAAGATGGTAGGCATAAGTCTTCCCACCCAGCCGTGGCCAGGGAGCAGCCCAAGATGGTGCCCCACCCCAGGGCATGGTCCCCATGTTGCACCCACACCCTGCTCTGACTTTGCCAGAGAAGTGTCAGCACTTCACCAGGCAAAGCTTCATCCACAGGTCTAGTCCCACCACCGGCTCAGTGTGAGTCCTTGGGCAACCTATGAATCTTCTCTGAGCCTGGGTGAATTAGAGACCTAACGCAGAGTTACATTAGGCCCCGGACTTCATCTCACTACTCAATTCACAGCACAGCACCTGCCTGAATGGCAGCTGGGTAAAATGGAGGTGATTGACTAGTAATGTCTGCTGCTGGATAAAATGGAGGTGATTGACTAGTAATGTCTGCTGCTAAACAGGGCACATCAGGCGGGGGAGTCCTACGTGCCCTAGGCATAGGCAGTGACAGACTACCTGAAACCATACCCACTTCCTCCGCTCATTCAGTCTTCCTTCAGTAAACCCCACTGAGGGTCTGCAGTGTAGCAGGCCCAACACTACACAAAACGGATAAAGGACATCTCAGCCAACCACAAGGAGATAACCTTGCATATGTATTAGAATGGCTTAAAATTTTGTCAGTCACTACCAGGCTCTGGAGAAGATGTGGAGCAACAGCAATTCTCAGACTACCCTGGCAGGGGTGCAAGATAGTCCTGCGACTCTTCACACAGCCTGGAAGTTTCTTAGTCAACCCCCAACACCACACCAACACCACACCCAACACCACACCATTCCTCTTAACCAAGAGGAATGGAAATATGTGCTCTCACCAAACCTCTGTGTTATTGGTTATACTGAGTAAATATGCAACCCTCCCCCCTAAAAAAAAAATGGAAACAACCCAAATGTCCTTCAACTGGTGAACCAAGGTAACCAACCATCCTGAGTTCTGCCCTGCAAGTGTCAGGCCTCAGAGAACACCTCCGTCCTGGGAAAACTAGGACAATTGTCACCCTCTGAACAAATAAACAAGCCAGTGCATCCTACAGTAAAATAAAGGAGGAAACTGCAGGCAAATGTGACAAGATGTCTAAATCTTCCAATGCACGGTAGAGAGTGAGACTGGCTGAGTCAAAGTTACATACAGTACAATTCTATTTGTGTGACTTTTTGGAAAAGACAGAAGTATTGGGACCCACAACAGAGCAGTGGCCGCCAGATGTGGGACTTGGAGCTGGGCCTGATCACAGAAGGGCCCAGAGACCTTTCACAGCTGGTAGCAACTGTCCTGTAATTGATTATGGAGGTGATGACACAGCTGGGGTCACTTTCCTCAAAAACTCACGGAACTGAGCACTAAAAGGATGAATTAAACTGCATGTAAGTTATACTTCAATTAACCTGACTCTAAGAAGTTCTTGTCGCTGAGCAGCTTGCTTCGGATGGGAAGAGGGAGACGATAAACATAGGATTCAGTTCTATCCATGGGTGGTCATTTGACAGCCACAAGCCTGGGTGAGATACCAAGGCACTGGGTGTTCAAACGGGAGCAGAGAGTGTGGATACTTTGGCATCCCAACACTGAGAAGTCAGAGAGACCCCCGGGGAGGCACAAGGAGGGGTTCAGGAAAAAAATGGGAGGGCAGAGTTCCGGAGCCAGGAATGGGGAAGGAGTCCTCGAGGGACAGCGAGGGACCCAGCTCCTCAGCACACTGAGGATCAAGCAAAAGGAGACTGCGAACTGATATGGCCTTGACACAGAGAGCCCAGCGGTGACTCTGACAAATGTCTGCTCGGCAGAGAGGAGGCTGTGGAGTGAGCGGGAGGGCATGGAAGGCAGCAGGAGGGGCCCTGCTGGAAGAGGATGTGCAGAGCCCAGGGTGCCAAGAGGTGACCATAAAGCCCAGCAAGGTCCCATCCACCCTCCCCAGTGTTTTGAGCCAGGCACAAGCCCAGAACGGTGGCCTTCCCCCTATCTGAGACCTCCGCCTGGGGCACTCGATCTACTGCTGCCTTTTCCTGCTCCAAGACCCTGTGAAGAGCAACAAGTCCCCATCCTATTGCAAGGCACACAGCGCAGCAGGATCCTGCAGCAAACAAAGCTGGAACAAGCCCTGTATCACCTGGGCACAACCTCGGGGCACAGGGCGGCACAGTTCCTGAGATCTAAGCCCTGGAGCCACCTCCACTCTAGAAAACTGCAAGTCCTAGGAGCAAGCTTTCATTAGCCCCTCAGGTCTGCAGTCTGGAGAAGAGAGGGACTTTGCAGCGCACACAGGTCTTTGTGTGCAAAGGTGTACACAACGTCTCTGCACACAGAGACGCCCACCTGCACCCTCTGCTCACGCACCTGTTCACATCCACGAAGACTCCAATACCCTCAGCTCCCAGCTGCCTGGTGGACCCAGCCCCTCCTTCTGTGAGAGAGCCCCAGCTGTGCCCCAAAGCCATCTGCAAGCTGGCCCAGCCCTAGCCTTGCCACAGGTCTGTGCTCCCACCTGGTGGCCATCTGAGGAATTAGAGCTGACTCAGCCAGATGCCAAGAGGCGGCTATGGGCTGGGTAACTCAGGGAAGAGGTAAGGAGGTCACACTGACCGGAGTCCCCTGCATGTAGCTCGCACTGCCCACACTTTAAGGCACTCTTGCTGGAACTCAATGATGGCCATGTTACCTGGCCTGCTGCCCAAGCCTGGACAGACATCACTTCCAGAGGAATCACCAGCCTCACAGACAGCTCAGACGCCCTGCACTGCAGTCATAGAAGCATAAGCACTCAGGGCGGGGAAGGGAGAGGCCAGGACCAAACTCCTACCCACTCAGGACTTCTAAGGCCCTCACAGGGACAGCATGCCCAAAGAGGCCTGGAGCACTAAAGGAGCCGGGCAGGTCACTTGAAGAAAAAAATCTTGGAAAGAGGGGTACAGGACCATGGACTCCTCTCTATGAACTTGAGCACTCATCATCGGGGACTAGGCTGAATGTGTCCCGCGAGGAATTCAGAGGGCAAGATGTGGTTCATTTATCCCTGACAGATGAGAAAACTGAGGCCAGAGAAGCCTCACAGTCTCCCAAGGCCCCAGTGTCTCGGAGGCCTGTGCGCTTGCCAAGTCCTGGGAACAGGCGCCGGTGGGGTGCTTCCCTGTCTTCTCCATCCTGTCTCCCCATCTGCCTCCAGCAACAGCTGAGGGCATCCTGTTATGACATCAGTCAGCTGCTCCCACCCACGCACCCCACCCCCAGCACTGCTAGGAACCCCCAGTAACCACCGTTGTTCCCAGAGCAAAAGCCAGAATCGTGATCAGCACACAGGAGACCTGGGTCCTGACTGCTGGGCTCCTCCTCCTAACCTCAGACCTCCCGCACCTCCCGATGCACGCGCTCCTCCACGCGGCCACTGCAACGCTACTACCCGCGGCCTGCCGCCCTCCCTGAAGCCTGTCCTCTACCCTGCTGCCGCCCCCCGCAGCCTGGGAAAGCTCAGGGTCCATCTGGTCAAAGCCGGAAGAGGACCAAAGGACGCAGCTGTGCTTCCAAATCTCGCCACAAGGTGTCGCTGAAGGTTTTCCTTTGCTTTTACTGCTCATCTTGGCAAAAACTGACCATTTCTACACTGGGAAGGAGTGGAAGGGACGGGGAGGAAGAACAGCAAAAGCGAAGGGGTGGGCTGCAGCTCAGTGTTGGAGCGCTTGACTAGCCTGTGTGAGGCCCTGGGTTCCATCCCCAGCCCTCACAGGGGGGAAAAAAATGGAACAACAACAAAAAGCCCAGACTGAGGCTTCCGTTTCAGCACCCAAATGGAAGTTCAGGACCAAGAGTTTGGTACTGTGTTGGGCAAACGGAGGAGCCCAAGGCCCAGGTGTCCCTCCAGTGTTCCTGCTAGGCCTGACAGCGGCTTCCCAGCCCCACCAGCACTGCTTACCTGTGACATAAGCTCACAGACATCACTGCCTCGAACAAGTGCGAGAATCGAGTCGGGACACGCAGGCACCGGTGGTGTCTGGCACACAGGTGATACCCACTGGGCAGGTTCTCTATGTTGGTATCACCTGTGACGCTCCCAGCTTCCGACCGGTCCCCTCTACCCGTTCTCAAGGCCGGGACTCACAGGCCCAAGACCCCTGAACTCTGCCATCTCGCCTCCCCCCCCAGGAGCGATGCTTCACCTTTCCGGCAGAGGGCGCCGCCGGGCCCTGGGGCTGGAGGACGATGAGGTCCGGACCCGCGCGGGTGTGCAGCAGCTGAGCCCGAGCGCGCTGCAGAAGCGTGTTAAGAACGCTGGATTCGTTGACACTGATGAGAGAGGCCAGATCATCGGCCTGGTCAAACTCAGGGGGGTTGGCCTGCAAAGCACACACAGGAATCCATGTGCCTCTTTTGCCTTTATGGCGCACGCCTGAATGCACACACACACACACATGTATGCACATGCACACAAGTATAGGCACGCACGCAGGAAGGCACACATACATGAATGCATGTGCCCACTTGCTCACGGTAGTCCTGTTCCTTGGGAGCCAAGTGCCAAAGAAACAAAGACACTGGGAGAATGACCAGACCCTGCCCATAAAATAGAGGAGCCCCTTCTCCTGCCCCTACGTACCCTGAAAGCCCCCTTCTTTGCTCTAGTCAGCTCTCTCATGTTCACTGTTCAGTAAGGACAGATGCTACCTAGACGGACCCAGCAAAATTTGGAACAAGGTTTTGTCTCAGATGCCACATAAAGACAGATGTTTCGGAGTGTGCACTGTTGTTACCTCCTTTCTATGTCTTAAAAGAGAGGTCTGGCTGTGCTTTCTGGTACCCAGGGATGGAAGTCAAACCCAACCATTTCTTGGGCCTGGTTGCCCACTGAAATTTGATCCTTTAGAGATACCCCCAACCCCTAAGAGAAAGGTTGATGCCCCAAAAGGTAGGCTATTGGGACCTATGCTACAGTTAATGGCAAGTTGTATATTTATCTGTGGCCTTCCTGGCAGCCAAAGTGAAAAAGGAAATCTGTAGCATGAGTTTCAGTGGCCATAAAATGAAAAGCCATCACTTTCCTAGATTGATCAGAAAAACTCCTCTGTCAAGACTTGATAAGCATGTCTCTTGGTGTGTTTTCATAAAGGGGATGTTATAGGCAAAGTAAATGACTCCGTAATGTTACTCACCAGCGGAGAAAAGAGTTCAGTGGGGTATACCTATAACTCCCTCAACGGCATCGAACCAAAGTGGAATCTGCAGTCCGGTACAAGGGATCGCTTGCCGGGGTGGGAAGGAGGGTGCAGTGCAGGCAAGGATGGGATGGGAGACTCACCCTGTGAATACGCTCCTCATCAACCTCGGTGACCGTTTTGTCAGCATCAATGCAAAGTCGTACCCTTCCTGCCGGCAGGTCAGCTGTTCCCTCATCTGGCTTTAGCACCGTTGCTAGTTGGAGAGAGAAAAAGGAAGTGTGGAAGAGGGAAGGGGATGTGCAAGGATAGAAAAAAGAGTGTGGGTGCCAGACCAGGGAACTGGCGGGGTACAGGGACAGGTCAGAAGGAGGTTACATCCTCTTCCCTTGGGGGCTATTTAAATGGAGCATTCTCAAGCTTGACCCACCAAACACTTTAAGGACAGAGGCTAAGTCTGACTAACAGGGCCAGGCAGAGTAGCAGCCAGCTGGTTGGGGGCACCTCATACCTAGACCTTGGGACCTAGAATGGTCCACCTCATACCTAGTAGTGGCATGCAGACTGCCATTCTCCTTTGGGTGCCTGTGGCAGACATCACTAATCAATCCCTCTTCCCAGCCACGTTGCAACTGGAACTCAGAATCACTGAGCAGAGTGCCATTATCAGCCACAACTAACTGATAAAGTGGGCTCATGAGACAGAATCTCTTTGTCCACCCGCTCTGGATTCTGCAGAACTGTGGGAACCCAACCACCCTTCTAGCAGGAAAGAATTAGTTAATTAGTTATCAAGGCTCAGAAGTCATTTAAACAGTACCCAGTAGGCCAGCTACCAAGGCTGAGCTATCCCCAACCCCCAAAAGACCACATGCCCCATCCTAGTCTCTCTGCTCCTTACCAATTTCTTTCCACCACAAAGTGTGGTCAGGACCCACAAGGAGGACCAACAACTAGAAGGGGCACAAAAGGAACAGACTTAAACCCCCAGGGGGCGCTAACACCCTGATTACCAAGAGTAAATCCATCCTTCTGAACCAGCCAGACCTTCTCTGCCTCGTACCACCTGTCCTCACGAGCCTGGGAACAGAGACCACACAAATTAAACCAGCAAAATGACACCATCCCCTCCCTAGTGTGCAGGGAACCTGTCACGTGGGAGTTTGTCACAGTGTGTCCTGGGATTGCTGAAATCAGAATCTGTTGGGGGGTGCTTATTTAAATGCAGATTCCAGGGCCCTGCGCCTAGCTCTTGGAATGGGACCTTCCAAGATGAGCCTGAGAATCTGCATTTTAGCCCATCTGCTCTTTTTGCCGCCTCAGCCTTGAGAACTGTTGGGTGACATGGTAAGCAAGCTGATCCCTATCAGCTAAGTGGGGACCTCCCATTCTGAGAACCTGCTCCCATTCGTGGGTAATTCTACCCCAGGACAGGAGGATGTGCCCCTCAAGACCCTCATTCAGAAAATGCTGGCTCCCACATCTGGGGGCCTCCCGGCTCTGGCGCCCCCCTCTGCACACCCGACCCCTCACACTCCCGGGGGCAGATATTTCCCATCTCTCCATCTCTGGAGGATCCTGCCCACAGCTCCCCATCCCCCGGCTGCAGCCCATCACCTGGTCCAAGTCTCCACTGTGGTCGCCTCTGCCCCTGTCCTGCAGGGCAGGCCCCTCCTGGGTCTGCATCTGTCCTGGAGGCCCTTCCGCCTGAGTCTCCTGCGAAGGCTCTGCAGACCCCTCCTGCCGTGGCGGCCAGGCCCCGGCTGCACCTTCCTCTGTGGTGCACTGCTCTTCAGCCCTCTGTGCACTGCTTTCTGGCCGGCTCTGTGGCTCAGTGGCTGCAGGTGGCACCCTCTCTGCAGCTACTTCCTTTGGGGCTTTGCAGCCCTTCTCAGCCTGGCTCCCAGCTCCACCTGAACCCACAGCCTTCCTTCGAGGCTGCTCCGCCTCTTCTGACTTCGAGGCCTCACTTGCCTTCCCAAGCTCAACTGCTTCCTCCAGTGCCCGGGGAGCCTCCCCAACCTGCCCTGCCTTCCCCTGCACTTTGCCCCTCTCCTCCGTCTTGGCCTGAGGCTTACCTGTCCTCCCTGTAGTACTCGGAGGCTCACTTTCTCGGTCCTTCTTGCTCTGGGGACTATCCCACTTGCTTTTTCTGCTCAGGGACCCTCCCCACTTTCTCCCTTGCACTTGGAGCCCAACACGTTTCCCTTCAGCTCCCACATCCTTGGACACATTTCTCTTTTCCATCTTGCTTGGGGGATCTCCTCCCTCCTTCTCCACTGTCCTCTGCTGCCCCCCATCACCTGCCCCTTGGCTTTGAAGCCTAGTCCTCTGTTCTTCTTTGCCCTTGGACTCACCCCCTTTTGACCCCTTAGTCTGGAGACCCCCACTTCCTTTCCCCACTGTGCCTTGACCCTTGTCGCCTTTTGTCCCTTGGCCTGGATCCCCATGACCCCCAGTCGGGGTCTTCTCAGGCTTTGAGGCCAAATCCTCGGTGCTGGCCTGAGGGCCAGAAGGAGTTCCTGGGGTCTCCCCTTTTTTTGTCCCTCCAGGGTCCGTGGCTGCAGGTGAGGTCTTGCAAGTGGGGACATCACGGGCTTGGGTCCTCTGCTCCGGCTTGGCAGCTTCTGGGTCCAGCTTGGCCACCATTAGCAGCACATCACCCCTCCTCACTCCCTTCTTGAAGGGCAGGACTTTTCTGGCTGGTGTCCCACTGGGGGCCAGCTCCTGGGGCTTCTCACCACTGACCCTGGTCATCAGTTCAGGGTTGGCACTGCCAGACCCTTGGCTGTCCTTGCCCGGAATGCTTGTTCCTTGCGGAGAGGTAGACTGGCTGTCCCCAGAAGTGTGTTGGCTTCCAGATTTAGTGCCACTGTGGGCCTTGCTGTTGGGCTGGCCAATGGAAACTTCTGGGGTCTAGGAAAGAAATCACCATACTAAGCAGCTGACCCAACAGCTTTGCCACACACTCACACTTATCCACCCTTCAGTCCATCCAAATGCTCCTCCAGCACCTCCAAGATTCCACAAGCGCCATGCCAGGCAAGGAGCCTTGGCACAGAGCCTCAAGGCCAATGGACAGAGTGAAAGGACAGTGAATTTGGGAGCCCCACAGAACCAAGTTCAACTCCTGGCTCTTGCACACATTCACAGGGTGGCCTTAGGAAAATTGCTCTCCCTTTTGAACTTGCAAGCTTATCAATAAAATGAAGACGGTAAAGGCCTGCTGTACAGCATGCGTATGAGGATTTATGATACTGCGCAGAAGCGGATGCCCTCACAGAGCAAGACTGCAGTAACAGAAGGTGCTGCTGCTGTTATTGTTATTATTCTCGCCTTGATTCTTCCTGATGGCCAGGAAGGAAATGAGGAAAGGAACCACTTCCTATCATTGGAGGTCCCACTCTCCAGCTCAGTGACCAATGACAGCATCGTCCTTAGTATCCCCTTTGTTCACATAGCTTCCCCCTGACCATGCAGAGTTTGAACGGGGTGACAAGCAGGAAGGGCTAAGGAACATCCACACAAAATAAACAATCTGAGCTACTGTTTCTGCTGCCCTGGTCCCCAGACCCGCTGCCTGTTCTAGCTTCAGGCCTTCATTTCCATCCCTGCATCTTCAGCTTCCACCAGATCCGAACATTTGGGGCTATATCACATCCAAGGGGATTCCACAGTTTGCCCTTCTACTGGGCATTTTTTCCTGCCTGTTCCTTCGGCCCTACACAGCCTCCATTCCAAGTACCAACCTGGCTGTGGCCCAACTCTGTTGCCACCTCTGCAGATGGAGACCTAGGGGCCATTCTGCCATGATCCTGGCTTCATCCCAAGCCCTCATCTGCCTCTTCCATCTAGGACCACGTGATGCAGCCGCACATACACCTGCGCTGGGAACTGGGACTCGCACGCACTCTTGCACTCAAACCAGCCCTGAGATTGAGTTGATTCCTCCTACCAAACCAAGCTTCCATGTCTCTTTCCCCAGATCCTTTCTCACTTGGGCCATTGCCATGGCCTCAGAACTGTGTTCCCTTCTGCTGATCCAGTGATGTTGGTGGCTGCCTACAGTTTACAGGAAAATCACTCCACATCATATCAGACATTCAAATCCTCAAGAAGGAGCTCCCAGCCCTATTCTGGTCTGATTGTCCCTTCTTGTCTCATGCTATACTGGACATCTCCCATCCTCCCTGACCCATCCTCCTTGCTTCCCTGAGCTTGTTCATACTGATTGGCTTACAGCCTACTCTCCCCCTTGTCACTTTTTCACCACCTGCTCATCGTTCTATACCCAGCTCAAACGTCCCTCTCCACAAAACCTTGCCTAAACACCTCCTTCAGAAGCCATCTCATACATCCGTGCAGTTCCAGAGCACTGGGCTGGTGCTTCCACCCCAGCAGTGACCACATTCTGAGCTCCATTCTAGCTTTTATTTGTGTCCTTCTCCTGTGTTAGGGTGGATGTCACAAAAGCACATACAGCCCTCTCTTCAACTCTGTACTAGTGATAATGGCAGTGACCAAAGACCCTTGGCAGTGGGCCCTGCATCACTAGGATGCATCATCTTACTTAAGCCTCCTGAGGATGCAGGGAGGTAGTTGCTCAACTGCATCCCATTCTGCAGACAAGGATGCAGACACAGAGATGCCAGGTGCCCCACGACAAAGCTTCAACATGAAGCTCAGTCTCTTGAACCCAAATTCTGCTTACCTTAACAGCTGTATACACATGTGCTTTCTTGACTTTTTTTTTTTTTTTTTTTTTTTTGTCTTTTTGAGACAGGGTTTCACTATGCCATTCAGGCTAGCCACAAACTCACTTTGAGCCCAGGCTGGCCTCAAACATGCAGCGATCCTCTGCCTCAGCCACTTGAGTGCCAGGATTAAAACCCTGTGTCACCATGCCTGGCCCCTTTCTTGACTTTCTCAGGCTCTTTGGAATTTCCTGAGAGCTTTAAAGCCCAGACACCTTGGCCCCCTCCCAGGGCCTCTGAGGTAGTCGATCTGGCCGCAACACCATTGGTGATTTCAGTGTACTGCCAGAGCTTAGCACCACGGCTCTGCACCCCCAGCTGAGTGGCTCAGACTGACCTTCGGGGACCTGCAAGACACAGCCTCAGAAGAGGATTCACTGCACCTGGCAAGTCTCACCCCTGTGTACACCCTCCTGAAAAGTGAGTCAGTGTCTTATTTTTAACCAACTGCCACAGAGGAGACAGTGACATGGGGATGCGCCACAAAAGCTCACCAAGCCCAGCCTCCCCCACGCTGCATGCCTGAGAGTTCTCATCCTTCGGATTCTCAGTCACAAAGTCCTTGGTCCCCATAGCGGCCTTCTTCACATATGGAGGGCAGATCCCCTCTAGAGTCCCTGGAGTCAAGAGGACATGCATAGCACATCTGTGTTACAGGTGAATAAACTGAGGCCTGTGGTGGGAAAGGGACCTGGCCTGGACTGCACCCAGGGATGGGGCCAGGGCCAGAACGAGGTCTCCCTGACATTCCACTCAAGGGTTCTGCCGTCTCTCCTTTGCCCCCACTGGCCACATGGCCTTAGAAAAATCAGGTCACCTCTGTGAGCCTCATCTCCCTTCCTGCCACATGGGGATGGATCCTGTGGCTCCTTGCCAGGATTGTACGAAGACCAAATGGGAATGTGGTGCTGGCACAAGGAGAGACAGCCTAGTGTCATTTACTGCTCAGGATAAGAAATGTCCATCACCAGGAGACAGTCATGGGGATGTGTTCCAGAGGCCACCCTATTCCAATTCCTGAGCATCCTGGCTTTCAAGCAGCACCTGCTATGGTCTAGGGCCTGTCCGTCTCCTGCCGTGGCCCTCAGTCTCTACCCAGGTCCAGCAGGGACAACTTGTCCCCATGCTCACTCAGTTCTTTTCTTGTTCACAGTGATGCCAGCATGGCCCACATCCTTCAGGGCCCCTGTCCTCTCCACCCCTCCAAAGCCACCACCTTGGCCACCTCACTCACAAAGATGGCCCTTCCCCTGGCAGCTCACAAAGACAGAGAATACACAGGCTCATCCTCTGGCTCAGCCTCTATCGGGTCTCAGGACCTTGGGCAAGACATTGACTTCCCAGGGCTCAGTCCCCACCTCTGATACATGAGTGTGAGCTTATCCACTCCACTGCCACAGCATCCTAAGTAAACCTGTGATCAGTAAATGGAGCATTGTCCGGTGATTTACAGAACACAGAACCAAGACCTGACAACTGTGGTCTGGGGCCAACTGAAGTCATGCAGGCCTGGGGACAATGCTGTCCTCCTCCGACAAGACTTGGCCAGAGTACTTCTACAGCTGCTGCTGTTTCAGCTGCCAAAGGACTTCCTGACATAGCAAAGCCATTGTCACTGGATGGGGCAGGCATGTGTGGGCCTGGTCAGGCAGATGGAAGCTGAAGTGGAGGAGGGAGGCAACAGGATGGCCACTGGGCTCAGGAAACTCCTGACCATGAGGCCACTAGACCGCTAAGCCCATTACAGCAGCATGTCCTTTGGCCCCAGGGGCACTGGAGAGCAAGGAGAGGAAATGCTCTTTCTGAAAGCCTCACACAGCGATACTCCCAGGCTGCACTGCGCTCCAGGCCTGCCACCCTGGTGCCCAGCCTCCCTGCTTAGGGAGCTGGAGGAGAAGAGGGAGGTAGACTGGCCCCCATCAGGGACTAGTTAGGCTGCATCATGTTCAACGATTGCTTCAATCCAGCAGTAGTGTCCAGAACAATGAAGGCTTTTAGTAGACATCTGTCATTCAGAAGGGATGCCAGATGGGGCAGGGTTCTAAGATCCCTAACTTGGCCACGCATTAGCCCTTCAGTTATTGGACTCTAACCATTCCTAGGGACTAGGAGGAGGAGGAGTGGGGAGGAAGGCAGCTGCGGGGCTCCTGGGGTCCTTGAGCCATGAGCAACTCCCACCTGATGTAGAGCAATTTCAATACTCTAGCAACCATACATCTATACCAGTAAGTAGCAACCAACTTGAAGCTCTTCTCCTGCTTAAGGTGAGCTTAGCCAGTATGCAGCTTTTCCTTTCTGCAAAAGTAGAGTAAAATCATCCTCACCCATCATATATCAACTGCTATCATTCATTGATTTGTTCATTCAACAAACATTTCTTGAACATTTACTATTGGCCACACACATACCATGACAGCTGCCCAAGATGCAGAGTGAATGAAAGAGGAAGTCATTGCCTTTAAAGAATCCCTAGTCAACCCAGCCCTACAATCAAATATTATGCTTTCTACAACAAAGATGGGCATAGCAAGTACAATGAAAATCAGAGGAAGGAGAGCAAAGGGAGAATATCTAGAGATGTAAAATTGGGGTAGGTGCTGCAGGCTGCATAGGAGTCCAACAGATAGAGTATAAGAAAAGACATTCTTCAAAGCAGGGACAGCAGAGCCAAGACAGAATGAATTGACTCAGAGGAGGCCTACAGGACAGGAAGTGGGTATGTTTGGAAAGGCACCTGGTTCCCTTCCTGAGGGCCACTCACCTCTTGTTCTGGGGAGGCGAGCAGTGCCTCTTTTCTCCGTCTTGCTTCCTTGGACTCTTTCTCAGTCTCCCGGACCAGCTGCCGAATGAAGCCCCCTGGGATGACAGAGAACAGGGGAGGAGGCGAGGATGGCGGCGGGCTCTTGTCCTCCTCCCGGATCTGTTTGCAGAAGCAAGCAAGGTGAGAGCTGAGTGAGTTGGCCGGGGCAACTTCCCCAGAGAGGGGACCAGGGAGCCTGTGAGGACCACAGAGGACACCCATGACCGAGCCTATGAATGAGGCCACATCAAAGTGGGGCCTCAGGGGGCCCCACAACAGTGCACGGAGATGGAATGCAGTAGAGGCTGCTCAGCCAATGCGATTTCTGCTTGGACTATCCAGGCCATAAGTTCCCTACCATGGCTTGGGACAGTCCCATCTCTGGGAGGACCCGCTCTGGAAAGAGCTTCTCCAGCTTCCAGAAGGGGTGGATCACCAGCAACCATCCACACTCTCCTGCCCTGCCACTTAGAGTTAATATAACAGATCCACTGCTGAACGCTTCACTTCCTGAGTGCCAGGACGTGTAGGGGGGCCCAGGGGCCTGTGTCCAGAGTTTATACATTTGGCCCTCTATGTCTGCGGCTTCCACAGCTATGACTTCAACCACACACAGGGAGAAATATTTAAGGAAAAAAATTGCATCTGTGTGAAACACATGCAAACTGTAATACAGCATGAGAATTATTCCCATAGCACTGACACTGTTCAGGTACTATAAGTCACCTGGAGATGATTTAGAGTAGTCAGGAGGACATGCGTAGGTTCTATGCAGTACTGCACCATTTATATAATGGACTTGAGTATCTGTGGATCTTGATATCTCCGGGGGGACCTGATACCAATTCCTCCTGAGTACTTAAGGACAGTTGTAGAAGGACCCAGTCTTGTGGCTCCAGCTCCCTCACATGACTCCACCATATTTTTTTCATGGCCTTTAAACCAGCGCCTGGGCAGCTGCAGTCTAACTAAAACTGACTCTTAAAACAGGGATCCTGGACAGGGGCATTTTATCCCTAGAAATGTGTCCAGGCCACAGCCGGCTGGCTTTGCTAAAAGCTGAGACCCCTCCATTGGCCACAGAGTGACCTTGGAGGCTGAGACATAGGACCTCCTGTGGCCCACTGGCATGTGTGTCTTTAACCTGCTTCACTGTGGCTGCTCGTGAGAAAGAATAAATCACTAGGGCTTTATATGGAAGAGCCACACTCTGGTTTAAAATAGCCTTCTTATCAAGGTTTCTGCCTGTGTCTTGTAAAGGCTTGCTGTCTGCAGCCCAGCTGATAAAGGGATCCAAAGGAAACAGAAGGCAGGAGGGGGAGGTTCTGATGCAAACCTCTGCCCAGGCATGGGGTGGGGCAGGTCATGCAAGGCCAGGCTCAGGACCAAGACCCACTTCATAAAAGAGAGTGAGTCTTAAACTGGTGTTTTCCTCTGTTTCTTCCAACATTGGCCCCAACACTGTGCCTGGGCAACCTGAGAAGGCCAGGGGCAGCCAAAAAGAAGCTTTTCTCCCTGCTTCTACCTCCAAGCAAATCACATGCACAAAGCTAGGGGGCCACAGGCATCATGGAGAGAGAGAGAGAGAGAGAGAGAAAAAAAGAGAGAGAGAGAGAGAGAGAGAGAGAGAGAGAAAGAGAGAGAGACAGAGGGAGGGAGAGAGAGAGAGACAGAGGGAGGGAGAGAGAGAGAGACAGAGCAAAGAGACAGAGACAGAGACAGAGGGAGAGAGAGGAAACAAGGCCTTCCTGACACCTTATGAAAAACACAAGGAAGAACGGGGGAGAAGAACCCATTTCTAATCCTCCATGGTGACAGAAGATAGGAACTATGAAAAGCCACCCCTACCGCATCAGCCTGGCAGCCAACAGCCCCACCTTTGCCCCCACCCCCACACACGCCCTGTGAGCACAAAGACCGGGCAGCGGGTCTCCCCCATGCTCATTTCCCAGCCTCCAGCTGAGGGCCGTCAAGGGCATGATCACCAGTGCTGCCCGGGTCAGGAAGGCGGAGCTAAGTGAGCTGGCTAAGGGAAGGTGGCAAGTGGGCCTGGGCATGCCCCAGGGAGAGACGGACGTCAGACCCCCTGCCCCGCTGTGATGGGCCCTCCGAGCCCACAGCTGCAGCCCAGCCTGGAGTAACACTTTCCTTCTGCTCCCACAGGGCGAGACGTGACGAGATGGCCATGCTGGGCACCACCGGGGCCTGAAGCGGTGAGATGAGATGATCAGCGACGAGCTGGTGAGGCGAGATGGTGCTCCCTGCAGGCAGCACAGAATGGGCCTCACAGACACACACAGCACACGACAGGAGAGGAACAGGCCTGACACACAGAGACACGATGGGAAAGAAGAGAGACAGGTTAGACCATGAGCACTGCCCTGCTCCCACCACCACAGCAACGTGAGGCATGCCCACCAAGGGAAGGGCACAACCAGAGACAATGAGATCTGTTCAGGCTCATGAGGATGGTGGCCAGCAAGGGGGCCACTGGCCATGGATCATGGAGTGGCAGCACCCTGAACTCCTGTTACCCACATGTTAATCCTTTATGAAGGCACAACACACAATCAAGAAAGTACATCGTCACACACATATTCAGCCCAGTGGCTCTTACAAACAGACCATTCCTACAGAACTAGCATATTGGGTAAGATCTCAAAGATACAAGGAGTTCAAGAACAGGAAAATCTATCTGAGTGTGGTGATATGCGCCTGTACTCCTAGCACTCTGGGAGGCTGATGCAGGAGGATCAGAAGTCTGAGCCCAGCCTGCAGAACTTAGCAAGACTCTGTCTCAAAATTTAAAAAGAATGAAGAGGTAGTTCAGTGGAAAGGGCCTGGGCTCAATCGCAAAATTATCAAAAGAAAATTTTTTAAATGCAACTGATGAAAGGGGAAGGGAGAGGAGCTGAGCTTTGGGCTGGGAAAGGGTGCAAGTGACCTTTCTAAGAGGGCACTGGGAATGGCCTGTACCTTGACCCAAGAGGTGCTAATGTAAGTGTGTCATATGCAAAAATTCATCCCACTGTACAGCTGAGATCGGACACATTACTGTATGAGATAGAAATATCTCAATCCAAAATACAAGCAGGACGTTACCAGGCCTCTGGAACCTCATTGCAGTCCCTGTTCCCTCAAGAGCAACCGTGACACTGACTGCTAACACCAAAGGAGAGAGTAGAGTCCTCTTTTAATAACAGGATGGTTGCCTGTGTGGTTTGATCATGCAAATTAGATGAGAGCAGGAAACAGCTCCCAGTTGGCCCCTGCTTTGGAGATAAGATTTAGGCAGCCTATTGAAAACCTCAACACTAACTTTGGACCCAGAAAACTGTCTTCTAGAAACAAAATTGGCAAAGTAAGCCTAAACCAGGAAATGTCATCGCTGGGTCACTTATAACATTGACAAAGCAGACACAGTGCCCAATAAATACCTAGAGAATATCAAGTAAAATCAAATATATCCTTAAAATATTACAGCTCCAAGGAACACAGTTTTAGGAAACATTGGATTTAAATAGCTTTATTGAGGTTTAATTTGTGTGCCACAAGACCCACCCATGGTAAGTGCACAATTTGATGATAGTTTTTTCTTTTTGTGGTGCTGGGACTGGAACTCAGCCCGGGCAATATACAATGGGTTAAAACAGTGTTGCACAATGAAAACTAACTGAAATCTGCAGTAGCAAAATGCCCCACGGAGAAAATCAAGTGCAAGGAAACACACCGGGGGTCTTCCTGGAGGTGCCACAAGAGGAGGCTCTTTCTCCTTCCTTCCATTGCTCCCTTCTAGCTCCTGGCCACGCCCTCCGAGAAGTGGTACGCACAGACCCCTCCCACCTCCTCCTGGGAGAAGTGTCCATCCCCCGCTGTCAGAGTCACCACAAGTCAAGCACTTTCTAGGCCTTGTGGGCCTCGAGGTGGCCTCCTCCAGTGACCTATGCATGAGAAGACAGCTTGGGCACCTGTGCATCATGGCAGCCATGTGATGGAAATGAGCTGGACCCTGGATCCAGCACAAGCCAACTTTAACCCCCCACAAGAGCGCACCAGGAAGGTCCTCTCCAACTCTGCACTCAGCAGTGCTCCGTTAGTGGCGTGGCATCAGCCACAGGAGTGTCCACACCTCAGAAAATGGCAACTACTGCAACAGGGCTGGATTTGGGCATCTGGCTGCTCAGTGCCTCTCAGCACAGGGTTGGGGGAGACCACGGAACTCCTCTGCAGCCTTGCAAGAAAGGACTCTCAAGGCACAGAGACCTGAAAAGGGACTTCTGGCTCGGAGGGGGCCATGTGCCTGAGGGAGACTCTGGAAACATGTCCCTGCGTGACACCGAGTCTCTGCTTTAGAAACAGACTGTGTGCACCAGACGTGGTGGTACGCACCTGTAATCCCAGCACTCTGGGAGGCTGAAGCAGAAGGATTGCAAGTCCAAGCCCAGCCCGAGAAACTTACTAACTTCATGAAACTCTGTTTCAGAATTTAAAAATTGAAAATGGTCTGGGGATATAGTTCAGTGCTTAGGCCCCAGGTTCAACGTGAGGCCAGAGTGTAGGGAAGAGGGGGTGGGGGATGGAAGAAGGAAGGGGACGAAGACCTCCTTGCCCACTGTCCCCTTGGGAGACAGGAGAGGCCCTGAGTGACTCACAGGGGACTGGCCTGAAGAGCAGAGCTGGGCTATGAATAGGCCTGACGCAAAGCACTATCCTGGCTGTGGCCCATCCCCTCCAGCCCAGCCTGGCCTTATCATGGCTGCGGCCCAAGAATCACTCTCAGCTTCAAGCTCCGGGGAATCCTGGTTGTGGGTGCGGCTGTCCTCAACACAGTGGGTGCCACTCACACGAGGTCTGTCCTTGAGGGGGCAGCAAGTGGAGCCCAGTGGGGCCTCCCTCTCCTGTCCTCACCCTCAAAGCTTTGAGCCAGCCCCACTGACCCAGGGCCAGGTGCCAACCCCACGGCAAGGCTTTGTCAGCCTTAATTTAAACAAGTGTTCTTATCCCTGCGTCCCTTCCAGGCTGAAATGCACAGCTGCCTCATCAGCAGCTGTTTTCAGCCCATGAGGAGCCTCCACACAGATTCCTGCAGAAGCCTCGAGTCTCCCTTTAGGGAGGAGAGAGACTGGCAAAGGAGAGGCAGCCCTCAGGGTCAGGGATGACATGGACCATTTTCCACGTGCACTAGATCTGAAAGGCCCAAGGGTCCTTTCCCTGTCACCCCACAGCAGGCAGCCAGACCTCCAAGCACCAAACTTTTCACAGAGGATAAATGTCCAGGGGTTTTGTGGTACCAACGGGGCCCTGATGACCACCTGTCCTAACAGCTCTTCCCTTCAGTCCTCCAAGTCAGCTACAGTAACCTCTGGGTACATATCCCAGCCTGTTCCTTCTGCCCAACACACAGCTCACACCTTCATCCCTTCAAGTCTTCGCCTGGAGTCATCTTCACAGTGAACCTGCCTTCCCCGCTATTTAAATTGCATCATAGTCCCCCATCCCTTCCTACTCTCCTGCAAGGGCCAGAATTTCCCTCTGCTCATTCTCTTCAATGTTTGATAAATAATTGTTGAACAAATGAGGGAGTGAATGAATAATCAGTGGGGAGAGAAGGGATAGAGCAGCAGGTCTGCGGCAGGGACTTCTGCCGTCCCCTTGTGCATCTGTACCCATGCACCATGGGATTGCACCTCTCCCTGGACCCAGGAAGCTCTCCCAGCCTTGGTTTCCTTCTCTGTAAAGTGAGACGACACCCACCTTTGAAGCAGGTGCTGACCACTGGTCCCTGCTCTCAGCCCTGTTTGTATTTTCACTTGACTCCATGGTGACAGCTGGCCTGGGGACCCCAACACAAGAGGACTCATTGATATTTAGAGAGAGTCAGTGATACACCAAGCACTGGCCTAGGTCCTGCCACAAAACTGCCTCTGATGTCCTGAAATTCCCACTGGGCCTGAAACATCCTGAAACCAAAATCTCTTTTACATTATATTCTTATAACAGTACATCACTGGTATCATTCCCAGAGCAGCCAGCAGCTCGGAGAGGCTGGGGCACAGGCTCAAGGTCACTCAGCAGGAAGATCAAGGCGAGATTTTCCCCCAGGTATGGGTATGTCTGAGTCCTCTTGTGCATGCCAGCTCCCCATATCCGAGCTCCATATCAGCAAGGTTGGCCAGGCTGAGGCTCAGAGATCCCCTGTATTCAATGGCAAGTTGGGGAATCCCAGGAAGTTGTCTCAAGTGGGCGCATCCTTGACTAGGGCTGGGTGTACAAAGAGGAGGCACTGAAATTCACTTAGCCTTTGTCTGGTGCCAGTCATGGGGCTGGATGTGCCATGGGCCAGGGATCAGGGAGGTTAACAAATTCACTCAGGGTCACACAGGAGGGAAAGTGATCCCTGGGTGCCTAAATCCCTGTGCTGCTGCCCAGGTGAGCTCTCTGCCCTCCCTACCTCAAAGGCGGGGGCAGCAAAAGCAGAGCTGGTGAGGGGGAGCCTCCACCGTGCTGGGAGCCTGGGTGACCACATCCTCTGCTCTCCCCACCCCTCTTTGAAGAGGACGCAGGCAGTGGCCCCATCTCAAGACACCCAAGCAGAGGCAGGGAGGTCCCTTTCACCCAGCCAGGAGGGGTGGAGCAGGCCCTGGGACACAGGCAGGCCAACCGCAAAGTCTGTGCACACAGCCACCACAGCACAAGGTCTCCCCACATTGCCTGCCACCCTGCTGGCATGCAGCGCATCTGGCCATCTTGGACCTGACACCCCGCCTGGCCCTCTGAAAGCCTCCTGCCTCCTCCACCATGATACTCAGTCACCCTGCCCTTGGCTCGCCTGAGCACACAGCTTAAGTCCCTATTGAGACTTGCACCATTTCCATCTACACTTGGATTTCTGCCTCTCCCCAGCTCATGAGTGTCACCACTGATTGTCCAGTTGGCCTCAGGGGTGTCAGGGGCAGGCAGAGGGGTTGACTGCTGCGGGCTCCGGTGCAGAGCTAAGATGCACAGTGGAGACAAGCTGGCCACCTGACACCTGCTGTTTCTGAATGTCATGTGGGAAGCCAGGCACACAGGGAAAGAGGTTGCTGGGAGAACCAACAACACCCCAATCAGCCCCGAGCCTGGGTCTTTCCCCATCAGACACAGAGTCATATTCTATCTTGCTTTCTGCCAGCAGATGCTGTTCCCTTGGGTTTTACCCACTGTCTCGTGTTTCCCACCACTGGTGAGGTCAGCTCATGGGCAACCCCACTGCAGTTGGGCAGCCTGCCACCGATCCCTGCAGGGTGGCCGAGGAGCTGCCTCCCTCTCCAAAGGTGACTGCGG